CTTAGGTTAACCACCAAACTCCCTGCACGACGGCTGCGGTTTGACGGGAATCTCCAAGGCCATAAAGCTGTCCAGGAGTGAAGAGGGGGAGAAATGCACCACCACGGAGGACTTTGGTTCTAGCTCTCGCTCTCTGCTTTGCCCCCCAAACGTAAGCGTATACCAGCCTGTAACCAACCGCGTGCCACGCCTGCAGCCGGATCAAAACTCACCCCTTGGGCTTCGTTTCCCTGGGAACCCTTACGGATGTGTGAGGCTTAGCTCAGAAAGAGACTCACCTCGAGGCTGGAGCTGGCACTTCAGAGCCGAGGTGTGGGCGCTGTGCTGAGCCCAGCTCAGACCTACCCGGGGCTGCTTTGGGCCCAGCGTGTGGAAAACAAGGCAGCAGGACAGGGCTCTCCACGGAGGTTCTGGGGTGCGTGGTTTTATGTGGCGGAAGGGCAGCACCGCGAACGCCTGCGGGCTTCGACCTTGTGATTTGTAAGGGAGGAATGGCCCTGGAGTTACTCCTTCAGCAGAAACCCAGGTGGAGGGAAGGTGGGAGAGCGTGACGACGTCGGTGCCGCGTACCCGCCCTGACCAGCGCTCTGCCGCCGATGTAACTGGTGCTTTGTGAGAGCGTATCCTGAGCCCTCGCCGTGCCAAAGCACGTGGTTTGGTGACGTGTGACACGTGGGGGTCATCTCGGGTGGGAGAGGAGCTGACCTGGGCAGCCAGGTGCTGCCAGGGGGTGATGGCTCTGGAGCACCTCTCCTATGACAAAAGGCTGCAAGAATTGGGCTTGTTCAGCCTGGAGAAGAGGAGGCTCCGAGGAGACCTCATGGCAGCCTTCCAGTGCCTGAAGGGGCTACAAGGGTGCTGGGGGGGACTTTTGACAAGGGCCTGTAGTGACAGGACAAGGGGTAACGGGTACAAATTGAAATCAGGGAGGTTTAGATTAGATATCAGGAAGAAATTCTTCCCGGAGAGGGTGGTGAGGCACTGGGACAGGTTGCCCAGAGAAGCTGTGGATGCCCCATCCCTGGAAGTGTCCAAGGCCAGGCTGGATGAGGCTTGGAGCAACCTGGTCTAGTGCAAGGTGTTCCTGCCCATGGCAGGGGGGTTGGAACTAGATGATCTTTAAGGTCCCTTCCAACCCAAACCATTCTGTGATTCTATGGCTCGTGCCCAGGCTTGACTTGCTCCCTTTTCAGATCATGAAAGCTTCCTTGCTTGCCGATGAGGACGACCTAGACTTGATCCTGGATCACTGCCCTGGGAAGCAACCTGTGAAAGCGGATACTTCTCAAGAGATCTGTTCTCCAAGGCTCCCTATTTCAAAGTCCCAGGGACAGAGAAGATCCTCAGGTACTGGGAGAAACCACCTACTGCCCGGGAAAGAGGTCCATCCGAGCGTTAATAGGCAAAGCCCTGTCGCCGGCGGAACCGTCGTGTGCTGGGGTGGGTTGGCTTTGTCCCACCCAGCCGCGCTCTCGCTCCTCACCTCAGCGTGCGGGGGGGAGGCAGTCGGACGAGGAGAAGCTCGTGGGTTGAGATGAAGACAGGGAGCCTGACGTGCCCGTGACTGGCGTCAGGCTGGGCTTGAGTACGGTCAGTTTACTGCCAGTTAAATGGGTTTGGGTAGGGAGGAGTAAGACAAATGAGAATGCTTTCCTGCTCCCGCTTACACCCAGTGCGCTTACACCCAGAGGGGATTCCAACAGGGCTAACCCCTCTGGAAGCGAGCATGGAGGCAGATCCAAGGTACTTCTGGGGTCTGTTTCCTCTCCGTTCCCGCTAACAGCAGTGGGTGTCCGCTGTCTCCATGGGATGCGTCTCTTCCGCTGGTCCGCGCAGTCTCGCTGGCTGCTTGGGAACCGCGCGCTCCGGGATGAGACCGCGTCTCCTGTTCCTGAGTCGTTGCCACAGGTTTCGGTTGGGACGTTGCGGATCCGGCTGTGACCGCTGGGGTTGGCAGCTTAGCGACGCGTTACTGTCGCCGGCCCTGGCGAACGCTTTCCCCGGCCGCTCAGGCCGGGCCGGAGCACCTTTAAACGGGCAGAAATGCCAAGCGCGTGTCCGCTTCAACGTTCTTCCTGCTTCTTCTCTCCAGCTGGTGGGCTGCTCCATGCAAAGTTTGCGAACCTGCTCTTCCAAGCGCCGGGTGCTGCTCCGCAAGAGGCCAGGGGACCCAGGACTCTGAGCAGCCCCCCTTCCGTCGCCCTTTTGTCGGCGACTTCTCCCCGGGCGTCTCCGTTCCCCGTTCCTCCGTCGGTCCCTGAGGTGCCGATGAAAACAGTCGGTGTCCGCAGGCAGCAGGGGCTGGTCGCTCTGGAAAAGTCCATCACCTACGGCAAAGGGAAGCTGCTGATGGATATGGCGCTCTTCATGGGGCGCTCGTTCCGTGTTGGCTGGGGACCCAACTGGACGCTCGTCAACTGCGGCGATCGCTTGAGCGGATCGAGTGAAATGGAAGATCCGTGCTCTGAGTCCATGGAATACAGATTCCTGCCAACTCCTGTCGCTCCAAAATCGTGAGTAGGAGTTTCCTTTGGGCTGATTCTACGTGTTCTCTCCGTTTTTAAGAATCCTGATGGTAGATCGATGCTCCTTCGGGCAGGCGGAAGTGGCACGAGGTCACCTTCAGCCACAGAGGTGCCCTTCGGGTCGCTGCTTTACAGAGCTGTCTGGAACATCATACTCAGAGTAGTAACTTCTGGATTACAGTGCTGTTATTAAGAAGGAGGTTAAAATTGTTGTCCAGGAAGCTTGGAATCTGTTGTTGATCCTCCCTGAGGATGTCTGCCCTACTTCAACTTCTCATTTAGCTTCTGCTTTCGGATGCCTGCCGTTCTGCTCGTGTGTAAAGCAGGATGCGGAGCTTTCCGGGGCGGTGTAACTCCATACCTAAACCCAACTGGGATACAGCCCCACGTTCTGCCGTGTCGTTGGGTGGTCGTGCCCCAGCATGTCTGGTTTGCTGGCAGGATGAGGCCTCCCCCGAGATGGGCTGGGTACGGGAAGGGGTGCTGCGTGCTGGGAGTGCCTGGGTCAGTGAGGGTCAGTGGCCAAAGTCTGGTTCCAAACCCCAGATCTTGATCTCCTATTGACCTCGCTGCCTTGATGCTAAACTTAGGGCAAGCTGCTGCTCCGAGATCACCGGAGTTCACTTGCATGGAAGACTATCCACAGCATTCCTGGTTTCCTCTCCTTTTTTCCTCCAGACTTTCCGAATCCTCGTTCAAGGTGCATGTGGAGAAGCTGAGCATCGAACAGCGGAAGATGGACAAACAGCTGTATCTCATCCCTCTGGAGATAAAGCTGAAACACAGCACTGTCCATATGGATGAAGAATGTCCCCTTCTAGCGCCCAATCCGGGAGTTTCCGCCATTCACGACTATGCTGACTGGGTGAGAAGGGTATCCGAGGAGCCTGCTGTGACGGAAGGTGAGTGCAGCAGTTCTTCCCACAGAGGGGATAGCGACTCCGGAAAACTGTCCAGGTCAGAGTAACTTCTGGTTGCATCCAAGTAGTGAAATGTGAATTATCCAGAAAAATGGCCTGTGCCTCCCCATTCCAGAGGAGGTCCGGGAGATGCTCCGAGGGCTGGAGCCCCTCTGCCCTGGGGACAGGCTGGGAGAGTTGGGGGGGTCAGCCTGGAGAAGGGAAGCTCCGGGGAGACCTCAGAGCCCCTTCCAGTGCCTGGGGGGCTACAAGAAAGCTGGGGGGGCTTTTCCCAAGGGCAGGGAGTGACGGGACAAGGGGTGATGGGTGTAAATGGGAAGAGGGAGATGGAGATGGGCCATCAGGAAGGAATTCTTCCCGCAGAGGGTGGGAGCACTGGGACAGGTTCCCAGGGAAGCTGTGGATGCCCCATCCCTGGGAGTGTCCAAGGCCAGGCTGGATGAGGCTTGGAGCACCCTGGGCTATGGAAGGTGTCCCTGCCCATGGCAAGGGGTGGGGCTGGTGGGGCTTTGAGGTCCCTTCCCACCCAAACCATTCCATGCTTCCATGGTTCTTTCTGGAAGCATAACAGTGGCTGATGGTGTCTGGGGAGCTGGCCTTCTGCGTCGCCTCTGACAGTCCTGCGGGGTTGGGCTGTGTCCTTGCTAAGTGCTCTCTGTCTGGTTTCTCTCCTCGTGCCTGCGTGACCCCTGGCAGCTGCTGTGAAGCACTGGTGCCTCACCTGGACTCTGTGCGAGGCCATTTGGGGGAACCTGAAGGAGTTGGAGGCCAGGTTGGAGGAACCCAGCGACTACATCCTCGCCCTGGAACGCAGGAAAGCCTTCTCCCGCTGGCTGTCGGAGACTGCCGCGGGACGAATCGAGGAGGAGGTCTCTCTGTCCCGACACGGTAACCCCGTTGAGGCTGTGTTCAGCTGCCTTACTGGGAAGAGAATTGGGGAAGCGTGCAGGCTGGCACAGAAGTCAGGTAGGATGCGTAAATCCCTCGGCTTTGGGGGAAGAGGGAAGGGAGAGGTGTAAAGGGAATTTGAACGCTGAGAGCAACTGCCCTCTCCGAGTACGGAGTGTCCCGTCTGAGGCAGTGGGGAAGGCTCGGGCTGGCTTGCTTGAATGTCTGCTCGTGTCTAAGCTGGCTTGTGAGCTTTCCTGGAGCTGGGACGAGCGCTGTGCTGCACTGGGAATCGGGAATTTTGCACAGCATCTCCTTTCAATTACTGTTATTTTTGACTGAGCTTCTGTTAAGCTGCTTTGCATTTCTTTTAAAAACCTGTATTTGCAGAGCCTGACAATAGGCTGCTGCTTGGTCTCTTGTGTCAGCTCAAATCCTCAAACTGCCTCTCGGTGCGCAGCCTCTCCTTCCCCTTGGTCTTCTACCCGCACCGGGGCAGGGGGAGAAGTGCAAGAGGTTTATTTCCTAAGAAATCGGGCACCAAACACGTTTGTGCAGCTGGAGGCTGATGGAAGCGTCCCGTCCCCAGCTCCGGAACGGCCCGGGGCATTCCCTGACGCGCGGTTGTCTCCTGTCGCAGGTGACCACAGGCTCGCTCTGCTCCTCTCCCAGCTGGCCGGGAGCCAGCCCACGCGGGATCTCCTCACCATGCAGCTGGTGGACTGGCACAAGCTGCAGGCGGACTGCTTCATCCAGGAGGAGCGGCTGCGGATCTTCGCCCTGCTCGCGGGAAAGCCGGTGAGTCCTCGTGCTCGGCGGTTTTCTTGTTGCCTTCGCTTCCCCGTCCTGGTGGGAGTGGGTTCAGTGCTTGGCCGCAGCCCGTCGTGTGCAGCCAGGGAGCAGCACGAGGTGGTGGCGTGGGATTTCTACCAGTGTAACCTCTTACTGTTCATGGGATCGTGGAATTGTTTGAGTTGGAAAAGCCCTTGAAGATCGAGTCCAACCGTGAACCCCACCCTGCTCATCCCACCACTGACCCATGGCCCTGAGCACCTCGGCCCCACGGCTCTGAAACCCCTCCCAGGGTGGGGACTCCCCCCTCCCTGGGCAGCCCCTTCCAACCCTGACAGCCCTTTCCGGGAAGGAATTTCCCCAATATCCCATCTAACCCTCCCCCAGCACAACTTGAGGCCGTTTCCCTTGTCCCATCCCTTGTCCCTTGGGAGAAGAGACCGACCCCCCTCTCTGCACCCCCCTTTCAGGGAGCTGTAGGGAGCGATCAGGTCTGCCCTGAGCCTCCTCTTCTCCAGGCTGAACCCCCCCAGCTCCCTCAGCCGCTCCCCCAGGACTTGTGCTCCAGACCCCGGTGTGGCCAACCCCTGGGCACAAGGTTTGACGGAACTCCGTTCCTTTAGGTGTGGCAGTTATCGGAGAGGGTGAACGTCAACGTGTGCTCGCTGCTGGACTGGAAGCGCTGCGTGGCCGTCCACCTCTGGTACCTGCTTCCTCCAACCGCCTCGATTTCCAAGGCACTCGCCATGTACGAGTTAGCGTTTCAGGTGGGTCTGGTGAAGTGTCCTCGCTCCCTCAGGCATCGCTGCGGGGGTGCCGAGTGTGGAATTGCTCGTGGGTTGGTTTGCGTGTGCCCTGCAGCACCTGCGGGAAAAATGATCCCCTTGGAATGGGAATAACGGGCTGGGGCTGAGCCTGGGAGTAATTCTACTCGTAGAGGAGCTTAGGCCCTGCTCTTTGGGGTGTTCTGGTCTCGGCCTGTGTGCCACCGCTGCGTTCCTGTGTGGGAGTGGCTTAGCTGGAGCATCTCCCCATGCCTGGGGGTTTGACAGCCGACGGAGGGGAGGCCGGGTAGTGCTCAGCAGCAGGAAGGCCCTTGGAGGTGGCTGGCCACTCAGTTTTTCCAGAGGGATGATCAGTGCTTGTTACAAACCTCCTTCGTCATGCCGCCCGGTGCGCTACGCTCCCGTTCCGGCGGCAGAAGGAGAAGCCAACCCGCCGGCCCCGCGTGGCTGCGTGTGCTGGGTGACACCTCGTTCGCTGCGGAGCTGTCGGCCTCTGTCTGCACAAAACCAAAGAGTTAAACGAAAAACAAGGAGTTAAGTGATTAAACTAAAGCTGATTCAGGCCTTGCTGCGTGCGCTGATGCGAACCCGGGCGCAGCGTCACACCTGGTGACCGCGGGCTGCCACCCGCCGCAGGAGAACGGGGCGTGGGGACGTCAGTGTGGCATTTGTCCCGTAAAACGCCGGGCCTCAGGCGTGTGCCTTGAGCTTCGGGTCATGCTGCGAGCTTAGAGCATGGGGGTGGTCTCGCTGGGTAAAGGGAAAGCGGGTGGAGGTCCTGTCCAGCGTGGGTCGGGCTGCTGAGTGGGGAGCAGCGGGGCGTGGATGCTCTTCCAGACCCAGGTCTCCTGTTCCTGCCAGCAGTGCTGACACCAGGAGGATTCTGGGTACCCGGCCTCACCGTCTTTAGCTGACCCAGCCACATGTGGTGTTCCGGCTAGAAAAGCACGCGGGAATACCGTCTGTGCGTGCCAGAGCTGGCTCTGCCTCCACGCAGTGACTTTTAAGAGCTCGGCGCGAGATGAAAGCAAACCCAAAGCATTCCGGGGTCGGGCTCCTCATTTTTAGCATGGTGTTAGCATGTTTCTTAACCTCCGGCACGGAAGCAGCACGGTGCAAGCGTGCTGGCGAGCTGCGGAGCTGTGTGGGTTCAGAGGGCAGCGTCGTGCGGGGTCTTCGCGCTCACCCTACTGTTCCACCTCTGCAGAACACGCCGGAGGGTGCGCGGTACGCCTGCTGCCCTCTGCCTCCGTACCTGGAAGATTCCGGTGCCGTCGTTGAGGACGATAATGCGGGAAGACCCCTGAGAGACGTCTGTTTCCACCTCTTAAAGCTCTACAGTGACAGGTAAAGGGGTAAACGGTTAAAAAGTTACCTAGAAAAACCTCCAGCAGTCAGTGAGTGGTCGAATTCCCAATCTGGGTGGATGACACTCGGCGTTCACCAAACCACTTGGAGTGTCCGGCATCCCCTCGCCCGCGCGGCCTTACGGAGGGTGCTGGCACCGTTGCTGCGGGTGGTGGAACTTGCCCAGAGAAGCTGTGGATGCCCCATCCCTGGGAGTGTCCGAGGCCAGGCTGGATGAGGCTTGGAGCACCCTGGGCTCTGGAAGGTGTCCCTGCCCATGGCAGGGGGGTTGGAACTGGATGGTCTTTAAGGTCCCTTCCAACCCAAACCATTCCATGATTCTATGATGAACTTTAAGCTTTAAAGAAAACCCAAGCCCATGTAAACCCCGTCTGTGGAATTGTTAGAGGGGTGGGATGGAACTGAGCAGCTCCCACTTCTCATTTTGTCATGTGGGCACAACCAGCTCTTCATGTTCAATCGTTTTTCCCTCCAGGCACTATGATCTCGACCAGCTGCTCGATCCCAGGAGCGTCACCTCCGACCCCCTGGACTATCGCCTCAGTTGGCACCTGTGGGAGGTGCTCAGAGCCCTGAACTACACCCACCTGCTCAAGCAGAGCCAGGGGGTGCTGAACGCGAGCTACGCTGCCCAGCTGGAGAGCGAGGGGCTCTGGGAGTGGGCTGTTTTCGTGCTGCTGCACGAGCCTGATACACGGTGAGTACCAGAAAGGTGGAAACGTCACTTCTTCCCTCGGAAATCATGTTTCCTCTGCTGTATAGACCTGCTCTGTCTACGGAAGTAGAGAGTCGTGGAATGGTTTGGGGGGGCAGGGGAACTTGAAGCACCCACCTCCACGGGCAGGGACACCTTCCATAGCCCAGGGTGCTCCAAACCTCATCCAGCCTGGCCTTGGACACTCCCAGGGATGGGGCATCCATAGCTTCTCTGGGAACCTGTCCCAGTGCTCCCACCCTCTGCGGGAAGAATTCCTTCCTGATGTCCCATCCCCATCTCCCTCTTCCCGTTTAAACCCGTCACCCCTTTTCCTGTCACTCCCTGCCCTTGGGAAAAGCCCCCCCAGCTTCCTTGTAGCCCCCCAGGCACTGGAAGGGGCTCCCCATGAGCTCTTTCTTTGCGGAAACCTGCCCCGAAGAACTTGGGGACCACAGAACTCCCGCTGCTGCTCGGGATGATTCCGGTTGGCTTTGCCATCGTTGCGCCTGCCGTCGCCAGGAAGTCGCTGTTCACTCCTCGGCTGCTTGTTTTGAAGGGGTTTTGTTCTGATGGAATAACGCCTCGCCCTCTCTTCCCCCAGCGCCCGGGAGAAGGCAGTTCGGGAGCTCCTGAATCGGCACTGCGTCCTCTCCGAGACGCCAGAGTCGTGGGCCAAGGAGACGTTCCTGACGCAGAGGCTCTGCGTCCCGCCCGAGTGGATTCAGGAAGCGAAGGCGGTCCGCGCGAGGGCGGAGGGCGACAAGCACAAGGAAGCCCTGTTCTTGTTCAAGGCTGGCCACTGGAACCAGTGTCACAGGCTGGTCGTCAGGCACTTGGCCTCGGGTGAGCCTGCCCTCCCGTCCTTCCGTCCGTGCCGGCGCGGGAGCCGCTGGCTGTCGCGGTGTTTCTGGCAGCGGTGTTCGTAGCGAGCGACTGTCTCCCGCCTGGTGCCTGGTGTGAGGGATCCTCACCGCAGACACGCGAGAAGGGCAATGCGTAACCTCCACATCCCTCTTCCCTGAGGAAGAGCAGCCGTAGCCCCGATCCCATGGATGTCCCTGCTCTTGGAACTGGGGTGCCCATAGGCCTCCTTTTCTTTGGTCCTTACTCCAGGAAGCATTCCCAGCCACGCTGATGGTGCCAGGGAATCTCAAAGATGCCAGAGAGCACAGCCATCCACTGCTTTTTCCTTAGCAATCCGTGCTCCTGACTCCCGGGAAACCCTTTTGCTCCCTTGCCGATGTGCCTCTTCTCTTTAGATGCCATCATCAATGAAAACTACAAGTACCTGAAGGGATTCCTGGAAGATCTTGCCGCTCCCGAGCGCAGCGCGCTCATCCAGGACTGGGAGAATGCGGGGCTGGTCTACCTGGACTACATCCGCGTTATCGAGATGCTGGACACGATGCAACAGGTAACGGAACCCATTCCTGCGTCCCGGCGCTCTGGGAGTCGCGTCTTGCTTTGGGAATCATCTCTTCCTCGCTGAGCCGCGCCAATGTTTGTGTTTCCTAGAGGAGCCTGTCCGAAATACAGGGATTGGGTAGATACAGCCGGAACAGGATGGGTTTGCCCTGCAAACGTGCCCTCTGGACAGGGAGCTACGGGAAGGAGGAGCGAGAAAATGAACAGTTGGCAGGGGGTCTGCTGGTCAGAACCCCCTAATCCAGCTCCAGACCTCCCATTTCACAGAATCACGGAATGGTGTTTCCTAGAGGAGCCTGTCCGAAATACAGGGATTGGGTAGATACAGCCGGAACAGGATGGGTTTGCCCTGCAAACGTGCCCTCTGGACAGGGAGCTACGGGAAGGAGGAGCGAGAAAATGAACAGTTGGCAGGGGGTCTGCTGGTCAGAACCCCCTAATCCAGCTCCAGACCTCCCATTTCACAGAATCACGGAATGGTCTGGGTGGGAAGGGACCTTAAAGTGCCCCCCAGTCCCACCCCCTGCCATGGGCAGGGGCACCCCCCCCAGCTTCCTTGTAGCCCCCCAGGCACTGGAAGGGGCTCTGAGGTCTCCCCGGAGCTTCCCTTCTCCAGGCTGAACCCCCCAACTCCCCCAGCCTGTCCCCAGGGCAGGTGTAACCTTCAGGCAGGTTTTCGGGTAGGTTTGTTGGGTACACGTGGCTTCGGGAAGTGGGGCAGTCGGCGAGCGACTCCCCCAAAGGGCAGTGCCTGACCCCTGACCCTGCTCTCGGCCGGCAGCTGGATTGTTCCGCCTACGAGCTGGAGCGGTTACACACCAAAGTGACGTCGCTGTGCAGCAGGATAGAGCAGATCCAGTGCCACACCGCCAAGGATCGCCTGGCTCAGTCAGGTACGGGGATGCCGCCTGCGGGGAAAGCTGGCTTTGGAATCCGGGAATCATTTGGGATGGAAAAGGCCTTCAAGCCCACCCAGTCCCCCCGTGAAC